TTCAGCCTCCTTCCCCTAGAGGGCAGGCCAGAACTGCAGCACCCCTCCCCGGGGACTGATTCAGGTCTTAAAAAAGGTATGTGGAGAACAAGAGCTATAAGCTACACCTAAACCTGCATTTAAAAAAAACACTGAGGACCTCTACCTTGACTCTACATCACGGATAACACAGCAGAAGCAAGTCAGAGTTAACTTAGAAAGCGCACAGACCTCTTTGATTAAACACCTGAGGGATGATCTTTCTCAATTCTCATCACTTAACACCAGAGGCGAGGGTTCCACAAAGCAAGGGGCGGTGTGTGGTTTTCACCACTTTCCTATGGCTGGACTTTGCTTTTTGGTGGGTGGGCAGAGGAAAATGGGTCTCCCCAGACTTCCCACTCCAGGAGCAAACGCTACAGACTTGATTTTTCCGGTAGCAACTGAGGGCCCAGCACCATCAAGGAATCAATTCAGGCTGCAGAAAGCCAAAGGAGAGAGGCCTTGGTGGGGTGAGTTTGTTCGAGAGAGACACTGTAAGCGTCCTTTAAGAAGAACGAGATGTAAAAGCCTCATTCAAGAGAGAGAGCAATGACACAAACACTCACCCAGAGAAAACTCAAGCAGACTATGGACATCCTGGGTAACATGGGCCAGAGATGAGCGCTAAATCAGAACAGGTTTGGAAAAACTTTATTGCATTTTGTTTCCATGTGGAAGCACTGACAGAATTGAAAAGAGGCAGCATGTTCCACTTTTCTGAAAAAAAATCACATGGCTAGATCAACTTTCTCCCTACCAAGGACCAGACTGAATATATTATCCCCCAACCCCATCCCAAGCAAAAGCTAAAAAATGGGGTTTGTGGCAATTGTTTAAAAAACAGTACGTGAGAGGTGATAGATGATCAGTATTGGGATCAGTTATCTTTGCACGGGAAGGCACTCCCTGCCTCCCTCCTCTCCCTGTCTCCACCACCTCTATCAAAGACCAACGCAGGAAGTGCCTCCCAAGTGGAAAGCCTACTCCCCTCAGTGTGGCAGGCTCAAGTGTATTGACAAATCTAGTGAGTGCGATGGCCACTCATCAAAAGGGTTGGGGGCTGTAACGTTACCCCAGCATCACGGTCAACCCTGTGCTAGGACAACAGCCTCCCAGGTTAAGATATAGATTAAGACATGGGTATGTGTACATTTATGGGTCTTAACTATCAGAAAGTGACCCCATTTTGGAGGGTTACAAACTGAGAAGGGGGCAGATGATAGGGCTACAGGTGTTGGGCATGGGGGCCTGTTAATTCTGAGGGTAACAGAATAACTGACATCTTGCTGGGGAAGGGAGGTGGGACGGTAAGAAGTAGTAGATGTAACAAAGGAAAATGTAGCTTGCCTGAAATTACATGATTTTTTCTCTTTGATTGTGTAAGGCATTTTGAACTGCAAAAACTTTTGTCACACACTTCCAAATAATCAGAGGGAATATAATTGCTGATTCCAATACAAATAAGACCCCTTTTATCTCTCTCCCAGCACCCCCCAAGTCATTCTACACCCCAAGCCCATAAAGTACAGGGTAGGCAATTGATTTTGTGAATTAGGAGGCAAACTGTGTCCACTTAGGGGCTGAGGCCACTGTGCAAAGTGCCCTTGCGAAGGCTCCTGCCCTGATCCTGCCCCTCCTGGGCTTCAGAGGGTAAGCATCCATCTTCAGCGAGGTTTTAAGTCACACCAGGGGACCTGCCACTGCCTCCTGGGCAGTGGGAGGTTAGGCCCTTCCTGGTTTTCCTACGCATCCCCCACCAGGCGTCCAGACTGGTCCATCCACGCGCGTCACGTCTCAGTTAGTAGAAGTGGGCACAGCTGGGAGACTGCACCCTCCACATTAGTCATGCCAGACAGACAGCAGAGAGGAAACCAGAGGCCAGAGAAGTGATTTTAAAAGGAAAAAAAAAAAAAAAGAGTAGCTTCGGTCACCAAAAAAATTGAAAGATGATTTTTAAAAAATAAAACATGGGGCTTTTTTTTCTCTGTAATGCTCAGCCATTTTACTTGAGATATAAAAAAAGTTTTAAGAGTAGTTGTTTTGCTTTTTCTGTTTAAACATTCATGTGAACAGACTGGACGGTAGTGCTGTGATGTGGTTTGTGTCTGACTGGCAATGCTGGTCAGGGTCCTTCAGACCACATACTGGTACGGGTCTGCCTTCCCTTGGTCTGGCGTGGCAAAGGGGCTGGCCCAGCCTAGAGAGAAGGGATGGCCAAAAACGGCTTTCATGTTCATCCATTTTGTTTTTTTAGCCCATCTTCTCTCTTCCTTTTTCAATTGTTCTATTCCCTGAAAACAAGAACAATCATACTTTCAGTCAAGCACTTCATTGCTGTGGTTTCTGGGGAGGGATGGCCATAGCTTGAGGTGAATGGAGTACATGCTTCCTTTGTAAAGCAATAAGACTAGCTACACAGTACATCTTTCTCCTCTTTTTCTCTTAAAAAAATACTACTAAAAAAATTATACTTTTTTTGGTGGGCACACGTTTACCCATTTAACTCCAAGAAAAGAGGGAAAAATGAGCAAAATTAGCAGGCGCCTAAGTCATTGTTCCTAATTATGCTGATCCGGTGTGTTTTAAGTCAACAAGCACATCTTATCCAGACTTGGGTCCTCACTGGGCTGTGCAGAGGGGCTTCTAACGACCCCAGAGCCGGGCTATGCATGGGTGTGCTGTGAAGGCTTTGGCGTGAGAAGCCTCAGAGCTAGTGGGAGAGCTCACAATCATGGTAACCAACGACGGCCATTATGCTGGGATAGGTTCCTAGGAAGTCTGAAGCTACCGTGACCAATTTGCAGACCAAAAAAATACAAAATAAAAAAATAAAGAAAAAGTAACGAATCAGATCAAATTACTGCTCTGGCGCTGTGAGTCTCGCCAGCCTGGGGAATCAGGAAGCACCAGCTTAGTGGGACTGACGAGACATAAACTGAAGAGGTCAAGCAGGAGAGAGACCACAGGTGAGGGGAGAAGTCACCACACAGGAGGAAGGACAGGGATTAGTACAGTTAGAGGGTGGCACGGCCAGGCCAGTCAGCCTCAGTGATGGCAGAGGGCTCCCGGGGCTCCCTGGGGAGCAGCACGGTGGCAGAGACTGATGCTGTAGCAGCTGTCCCACAGCCTGGGCTGCTTCCCCTGCGAAGTCTCATGGGGGAAAAGGGGCTGGGGGAAGCTGCTTCCTCTCTTCTTCAGATGGAGCTGGTCAGCTGCCAGAGGGGGTGACCAAAGGGCAGGGCCTGAGAATGGGGCCACTGCTCAGAGGGACAGGAGAGAAGCAGCCTGGTGGGAGCCTGGCCAGGCATCTGTCTGCTGTGGTGTCTGGTGAGGTGTAGTCTGGGGGGACAGCCAAAGGGACTGGGAAGGGTACAGGGAAGGCGAGGACACCTTTGTTCACCGCCGCAGGGCCCATCATTACTTTCTCCTTTCCTCTCCAACTTGATCCCTTTAGGAATGGCCTTAACAGGGAGGAAACTAGGACTTGTGCCATGGGAGTTTGCCTTCTGGCTTTCCCAGACCATGGCCTGCATGGCTCAGCAGCATCCCTGCAGCAGTTAGGGCCTGACAGTCACCTCCCAGGTCCTTTGCAAATCTTATAGGTCTAACTCAGAGAAGCTGATCACATTTACTGCTTGGATACACAATTGGATCTACACCACTGGCTACAATTTTTAGAAAAACTCTTTTGCAATGATATTATTTCTAATAAAAGTTGCCCCCCAACCCTCTAAACCAGGGGTCATCAAACTTTTTAAACAGGGGGCCAGTTCACTGTCTCTCAGACCATTGGAGGGCCAGACTGCAGGCACCAGGATGAGTCGGCTGCTAAGCAGGACAGGTAGCGGTGGCAAAAATACCTGGCAGGCCGGATAAATGTCCTAGGCAGGCTGCATGTGGCCTGAGGGCCATAGTTTGAGGACCCCTGCTGTAAACCATCAGGAACTCCCACATATCCAAACAATGGTGCCCTGGCTGTGCCAGTGCTATCCCCTCTCTGCCCACTACCTTGCTACTCCCACGGGGAGGAGCCCAGCACAGTGGTGAGGACTGGCTTCCTGCAGCCTGCATCTAAAGCTAACTACCCAACAGGCCCAATGCCCCCACTCAGCGCCCTTAGACCACAGCTGAGAGCTGCTGCTGGAGGGACCTCAGGACATGGACCCACAACCTCATGATTCCCCTCTGCACACCTTAAGTTGTGTTGCCCCTTCTTCCTTAAGCCCCTTATCTGGACCCAAAGCCAAGAAAGGAAGAAACATTGACACTGTGGCCTTGGATTGACAACTGAGAGGCTTTCAGACTCCTTAAGGTCAGGAAGTGGCTGTAGGGGCACCAGAAGATTGGCTCCAGTCTAGTCAAACCAGAGCTTCAAAGCTCCCACAGAAGGAGCTGTAGGCAGGATGGGAGAGGTGGGAAGAAGGCAGAAGAAAGCCAGGGCTGGACCAACCAGAGATGACCCAGGGGCCAGGCAAGAGACTGCTGCCCTGGGGCTAAAGGCAGACCTGAGCCCTGAGGATCTAGTCATGGTATCACCAGCTATGCAAAGCTGACCCTGCCTGGCCCAGCTGCATTAGGGTTCCCTGCTGCCCACCCCATCACCAAGCTTGTGGGCCTGAGATGAGAAGGCTGTCCTCAGTGCCTAGTGAAGTGTTCAACATAGAGCAGTGTGTCAGGAAGAACCATCATAGGGGAGGGAAGGAATCGTGACAAAGAGCCTTTCCGTCAAGGCTGCTGGGCCCCGTTCCTGGCATGATCTGCCGTGGCTGCCCCAAGGCTGGAGGACTTGTGTATTCACGAAGGCCCAAGTGTCAGTGCAGATGAAAGAACTATGCCCTGAGCACAGGGGTCTGGCTGCTGGGCTCTCAGGTCTGGCCTTGAGTAGCCTTCCCAGCAACACTGTCCCTGGTGCGCAACACTGTCCCTGGTGCCCACCCCAGCCCGAGGCGCAGTGGTGGTGGGCAGGGCTGCCCACTTACCGTCTCATCCGTGCAGATGGAGTGCACCTGGGTCCCAAACATCACTGATGTGAAAATGAGGAAGAGCAGCCCCTCAAAGCACAGCAGTATGAGGAGGATCACCGTAGTGGGTGGAGAGAAGGAGCTGCACTCTGAAAGAGAAGGAACAAGTGGGGTCTGGGGCTGCCACCCACTGCCTGCTGCTCAAGCTTGCTGCCCTGGCCCTACATCCAGGCTTTGGCGGGGATCATCCTGGGTTGCGCCTGGCCTCTCACTCCCTCAGGGTCACGCTTCCCCTTAACACAATCATTCCTTGATTACTGTCCCTGGTGCTAAGCACAGTGCCTGGCACACGGAAGGAACTCTTTACTGAGGCACGAAAGCCTGATGACACCACTGGAGACCCTTCCCCCCTGGGGGAGTGCACTGCAGGACATGGGAGAAGAGGCCACTGGGCCTGCTCTCACATGGGTTTTCTGCGTGTTCCTACATGGGGAGCTGCCCTTCTCTGCACCTCCACCTGCTCATAGGTGACAGGGAAGGGCAGATTTGGAGCATCATTGGTGGCTTTGGCAGAGGGCAGTCGCACTGCCAGTGTTCCCCCTGACTACAATGTGAGTAGTGCCCTCTTCAGGGTTATCTGGATCACTGAGACCTTTAGACTCCGAGGATGGGAGTCAACCGAAAGAGACATGGGCCAGAGTAGGTGCTTTCACTGTCCTGTCCCCTTCCTGTGAGCCCACCCTAACCTGGGTTGTGACATGAGGCAAATCCCCACCCTCTCCAGGCCCCTACCCCTCCATTGTAAAGCAGGGAGGTTTGACTAGAGATGTGATTTGATTTTAAGCAACAGATTCTTTTGTCTGACAAAGTCTAAATCAGAAACCCAGCAGACAGAAGAGGAAAGTTAAGGTGCTATGGAGATGGTGAGGGTGAGCAGGGAGGGGAGCTCTCGGAGATGTGGGCCACATGTGGGTAATGGCTAGCCCAGCTCTTGGCACCGACAGCAGAGGCTAGGCCCCATGGTCAGTACTCATACCTGAAGACTCTTGCCCTTGACTGTAGCTGCCTGGTCAGGCGAGCTGGGGTTGTTTGGTTTCCTTCCTCCAGTGCTCAGGCCGGGCTGGGGAGGTCTGATGCTGGAGGGCAGAGTCAAGCTTCTGGTTTTTGGAATTCAGGAAGTAAATGTCCCCTTCCACGCCACTCTACTGGCTCCCTCACAGGAGTGGTGGGGAGAGGAACTGGAGGTCAAGTGTGAGTACATGGGGTGGGGGGAGGGTCTCATTTAAATGCTTTGCCTCCTCTTGGAAACTTGGTTCCTTGTTGGGCAAGGCTTAGCCAGGGTGGTCTACTAGCCTGATAGGCTCGTCTTGGGTGGCCTTGGTCTAGGCAGGGTGCTGAAAAGAACTAAGGCTCTGAAGTCTGGCAGACAGGGCAGAGTGTGAATGCTGACAGCAACTCCTGATTGAACTCTAATGACGATGCCACTACTGACAGTCTGTCCCTGCCCTGTCCTTCCTAGCCCTTGCACTGTGGATTACCTGTTTCCTTCTGTACTTCCTTCATACCTGACTCTTCCACTATCCTTCACACTGCAGGAGGATAGGAAGTTTGTCTTGTTCAGTGTTATGTAAGCCTGACAACAAAAGAATCTGGGCAAGAGATCTGGGCTTTCTGAGATTTTGTTTTCCCTTCTATACAGGGGAATTCATGAGTACACGAACATGTTCAGTGGACAGAGGCGCCTTGCCCCCTCCTCACCTGCCTTGACTACCCTGGAGCTAGAGGCAGAGCCCAGGGCGATGACCTGTTCTCTCTCCTTCCAAAGCTATAAGCATCCTTCCCCACCCTGGGGTAAGCCCCAGGAATAAGAAATGGGAGTTTGGGAGGGCAGGAACCAGATCCAGGGATTGCGGAACCACTCCCTAACCCTTCTTCAAACATCAACTCAAAGGCATCCTCATCCCAGGGGGTGGGAGTAGGGTGCAAATTCTGCCCCCTCTCACGTAAGCTCCTATGTTCTTAGAGCTCCATTAGGGCCAGGAGTAATGGCAGTAACTCTCAAGGCCTCCACTTTGGGACTGTCTGTGCCTTTCTAGTCTAACTGACCTAAGAGCTGGGTGTCTGAAACCCACTCAATCAGGAATCTTGACCAAAGGCAATTAACAGTGTGGCTGGGAGGATGCTAGCCATTGGTATCAGCCAGATAGGAAATCTTGCTCCATACCTAGGCTTGAATTGTAGCACTCTTCTTAGCTGAGTGATCTTTGGGAACTCGCTCAACCTCTGTGAGCCCCAGCTTTTGTCAACTGCAAAGTGGGGAGTGCTTTCCTACTCTTCAGGCTTATTGTAAGGGCAAAACAAAGCAGTGTTCAAAAAGCCCTTTGTGCCATGCCTGGCTCCTGGTAGGCATTAATAAAATGGTCCTTGTTGGCACCATTCCAAAGATAGGGACGTTGTACCTCATTGACAGCCTCTGTCTCTCCCATCACTGCCCAAGTCTGTTAATCCAATGACAGGTGGGAGGTGTTTGAGATGATAAAATGTGCTTGTTAAGACTCCCCTATCAAGTTGCCACGGCCACATGCAGAATTGGGTGGGCTCCCCAGGGCCTGTGTACACTTCGAGAACGTTCACCAAGCTATCGGGAACTTGCTGGCAGCTCACCCCGCTATGCAGAATGGCAAATTCTGCAGATACCCATTGCCCCTACCCTCCTCTCCTCTCCCTACAGTCCTCTAGCCTGACATCCCCTGCTCCAGCTTATGTCAGAACTATCGCAAGAAAATTCTGAAGTTGGAATGTACAGGGAGAGCAAAAGTTCAAAAGATGGTAAAAATGAAAAAGGGACCCACTGAGGGAAAAGCAGAGGAAATACGATGTTCCTTGTTCAGGAAATCTGTCCCCCAGATTGTGAGTACGGAAGACTCACAGCCCACAGGTGGCCTCTTATTTCTTTTCCTCCAGCATCTGTTTCTATCCTTTAGGATTTGTGTCATCTTCTGGCTAGAGTTCCTTCCTTAGCATGTGCACATTTAAATGGAATACTTCTAAAGAAAAATGAATTTGTCTACAATCTTGATGTAAAATTAATGATTCAATATAAGCTATGAGCAATGGTTAAAAAACCACCACCACAAAAAACCAAATTAACAAAACTCTCTGTGTCCTAGCCAAAAAGTTAAAAATGGATCTCTGCAAGATTGAGAAAAACAAAATGACCTTTGATTAAAAAGTGCTTTGCTTGAAAACACAGAAGCAAAGGTCTCCTAGCACGGCTCCCCGCCTTGGAACTCGCCTCTGTGCTTGCACGGGGCTTGCATTCTACCTGGGCACGCTCAGTCCAGACTTACTACTTTACCTGTGGAACTGACTTTAGGGGACTCCCTTTTTGCATGAAGAGAGTTTCGGGCCTCTGCTGTTTCTTCCCTGTTCAGTCCATAGGCTTGCAGGAGATCTAATAAAACGAGGTTGGCCCCTGGCACCATGAAGCAAGCAAAAAGCCTCCCTGCCCCCCACTTGGGTCATACAGCTGCCCTAGAGCAGGAAGGGAAGCCCTGGCACATACTCACTTGTCCAATCTTCTTCAAAGCAATGCAGGAAGTGGAATCCCACCATGATGAGGGCGTGCAAGGAAATGAGAGCTATGTACATCTGAAACAGGAAAGCAGTGAGGAGATCAGTGTTGTGAGAACCCTTTGACCTCGAAGGCTCTGGGACATGAGCTCTCAGAATCTCATGCTGAGGCCCAGGCCTGACCTCAAGGTGGCCAGAACGACATCTGGTGATTCTCCCCATGGTCCATGCCCCGCAGCACTGGGTCTGACATGAGCAGCTATCGCTGCGAGGGTGTAGAGCCAGAATGGAAACAAAATCCAGGCACTAGGCAGTCTGGGCTGTCTGGGTGGGTGCCAGGCCTGCTGCTTCTTAAAAAGTCAGGGTGCTGACTGCTGATGGCCCTTCTAGTCCTTGCACTAAATTCCACCTATCTGCAAGTTGGGAATTGAAGACATTACCAAAACTGCCTTCTTGAGCCACTTAGATCCAACACGGGGTAAGAACCAGAACACAGCATTTACGCATAATTAATTATGCTGAAATCAATTTCCTAAATGCTCAAGTGAAGGGCTTAGGAACTGGCACTTGACCCAGGGAAATCTTCGACAGGAAGGCAGAGATCTACAGGGCTAGGCAGTATTCTGAACAGCAGCTAAAAACATCATAAATGCTGAGAATTTTCAAAGGAACAAAGTGCTCCATTGCTTTGCAAAGGGCGGGGCGGAATTTGGAAGGTGACTTACTGTAAACAGGACGAAGTACTTCTGGTTGTTCTCGCCGACACAGTTATTGACCCAGGGACAGTGGTGGTCCATCTTGCGAATGCACCGCTTACAAACACTGAAACAGGCCACAAGTCAGATCTTTAGGCATCTCAGTGTTGGGAGGGCCCCCAGGGAACCATGACCCACGGATGCAGCTCCACTGCTTTGAAATGGCTGCCTTGGCCACTGGCAGGGGATTTGCTGGGTGTATGTTGCAAGGGGTTTGAAAGGCAGAATCAGGACCCCTAGAGTCATAGTCATTCCAAACAGGGGGACAGTCATTCATCTTCAAGGTCTCTCATCTTGTTTAATGTAAGTAGGATGTAACTGGCATGACTGAGACAGAAGCTGCTCTCCTGAGGTAATGTGGAACTTAGAATCTGGTTTACTGAGGAAAAGAATGAAGAAGTAGTTTAGAAAACTTGACCTAGTGAGCTACAATACAGAAAACAGTTACTTATTTTCCCTGAAGACCAAACAGCCAAGGGAGGGGAAGGAGTTCCTGATGCACTACTACGTGCTACCAAGTAGAGCATGGCACCTCTCCCCTAGAGGGACAATGGAAAGGGCTATTTCAGAGCAAGGTCAAGGGTAACAGGAAGGGCTAGGCACACTGGCTCACTCCTGTAATCCCACTGCTTTAGGAGGCCAAGGTGGGAGTCTCTCTAGACCGGGCTGACAACATACCAAGACCCCCATCTCTAAAAAAAAAAAAAAATTAGCCAGGTGTGGGAGTGTGTGCCTGTAGTCCCAGCTACTTGGGAGTCTGAATCAGGAAGATTACTTGAGCCTGAGAGTTGCAGCTTGCAGTAAGCTGTGATTGTGCCATTGTACTCCAGTCAGGGTGACAAAGTGAGACCCTATCTCAAAAAACAAAACAAAATAACCCTCCTGCAAAAAAGAAGTTAGAAAAAATGGACAGCAGGAAGCCCAGCTCTCGGAACCGCATGGATCTAAGACAATATCCATCATGCTGAGACAAAGCAGAAAAATCATTTGAGCTTAGCTAACTTTATCTAATTAATTTGCATATTTTTAACTTGTTATTGAGACTGTTTCAAGCTTATTTGATAGCAAACATTATTCCCACTCCCCTTGAGACAATATAATGATACAAAACAAGACTGATGGGAGTCTTGAAAGCAGCTGCTTCCCAAACTCCAGTTAGAAAGAGTCATTTGCCAACAGCTGTCCTCATCAAAAATCATTCCTTTTTTAAAAATTCATTATTTTAATGAATTTTAGGCTCTCTATCTTTGGGGTATTATTTGTTCAAAACCGTATAAAATATAAATACATACAAGCTTAGAAAGAATATAATTAGATTTTCTTTTAAAAGTTCCTTAGTTCACACTGGCTTTTCTCTCCACTAGTTTCCACAACTAACTTTATCTCAGGTTCCTCAAAATGCACACAGTGGGCAACGGTGGGCAGACCCTGCGCTGGGCCTCGGGGCCTTGCTGGATCACACTCACACCATGGTGTTGGCTAAGCTCTTGCTGATCACCTGGAATGGCAAGGAAAGCATGGGAGCAGGTCTGCTGGGCTGGAGGTGTGGTGGTGTCTAAACTCCAGGGCCCAGGAGTATGGACCACTCCAAAGAAGTCCTCAGGGCAGGGCACAACCACACCCCAAGGAGATGTGTGCTTTCTAAGCCTGGCAGGAACTTTGGTGGCAAGGTAAACCTGGGTCTGCTAAGCTACCTCAATCTAACTGGCTAGAACCCAGCCTTCTGGTTTCCCTGTACAGTTATAAGGAACACATGCAAATAGACACCGGGCCTGGCTTGGACAAGTGGTGGGTTCATACTAGTTTCTACCTTTGCTCTTCTCCACGATATCAAAGGGCCTTGCTAATACAGGCATGTTAGGAATAGGTACAGCTCAGAGATGCTGGCTAGGTTCCAGACTCTTCCTGGGGACCAGGAGGGCAGGGTGAGAAATTATGAAAGGGACATGGAGGGTGACAAATGGAAAGCTACATACCAACAATTCTATTACCCAGTCTGTCTCTCTGTTGCCAATTTAAAAAATACATATACATGTGACTATGCATACAGAACATATATATTTAAACTGGTAACACCTGTTCCCAGTCGACAATTTTAAAAGTACAGACAAGTAGACAGTGAAAAGTGAGTTGCTCCCCGCATCCTAGGCCTCAGCCACCGGGCACTGCGCTCCCTTCATTAAGCCACTCACCATACCGTATTTCCTGCATGTTCTTCCTGAGACCATCAGCTCTGGGATTCCTTAATCCCCTCCCCATGTGGGTAACCACCTCTGCTCCAGCCTCCTGAGAGTTTCTTCTCCATCTGCACTTATTGTTCAAAGGCTTTTCAAGGGGGTACTCTTGAGGCAGTGTTAGATGAGTGTCAGGGAAGTGCCAAGTGGCCGGCTCTGAAACCTGCCACAAGTTTAAACAAGTTCTCACAGCAAAGCCGTCCTTTACTCCCCTCCCAGCCTCTTTGAAGAGACAAGGCATGTACACCAGGAAGCTGGGTTTCCCAAAAGGGCTGAGTCTCCCTGGGCATCCAAATCCTTCAGAGTGAAGGGAAAGTAAATACAGCCCACTGAGGGCTACAAAAGTTGGTTTAAAATGCTGGTCCCTGAGTTTCCTGTTTGCAAAGATATGAAATGCCAAGCTGGTACTTTTCTCCCTGGGCCAGGTGGTGGCAGACAGTGATTGGGGTGAGGCCAGCCCACTGTGGCTGGAGCACTGCTCAGAGGTTGACTTGCTCACAGAAGGCTCAGCTTGAATAGCTGGGGCTGGAGCTTGGAGCACCCAAGGGCAAGGCCTGGAGGCAGGTCTTAGAAGCGGGCAGAGAGGCCATTCCACACCCTGTCTGCTCCCACAGACTTGGAGCCTGCCCGGTCTCCAGTCACACTTGCTGGCACCTTCCCTGCCGTGGCTGTGAATGGCCTGCGCCTGAAGGACTTTTCTGTACTCTGCTCTGAGGTGCTCTGCTTGGCTTCCCTTGCTCTTGTCTGTGCCCATCACCTGGCATTTCTTTCTAGAACTAATTCTGCATGTCGTGGATGAGATGCTATAAGCGAAGTCATAGGGAATGCGTGTGCAGTAAGAAATGTCCTACACACTGGCTCAGCGTGTGTGGCTCAAGTGGCTAAGGCGCCAGCCTCATACATCTAAGGTGGCGGGTTCAAATCCAGCCCAGGCCGCCAAACAACAATGATGGCTGCAACCAAAAAATAGTCAAGCGTTGTGGCGGGCGCCTGTGGTCTCAGCTATTTGGGAGGTGGAGGCAGGTGACTCGCTTGAGCCCAGGAGTTGGGGTTACTGTGAGCTGTGATGCCACGGCACTCTACTCAGGGGGACAGCTTGAGGCTCTGTCTCAACAAAAACAAAAACAAAACAAAACAAAAAAAAGAAATGTCCTACACAGGTTTTGCGCCATGGCCTTCCAAGTTTCCCCCGTGCCTTCCAGTTTCTCAGTCACTGTTTCATAAGGCAGCACAGCTTCTTTGCCTCTTCCTCCAGGTTCTCTACCCCTTTTCAGGGGCTCACCTGCAGTCTGCTTCTCTGGGGCTTCTGTGTACTCTCCGGAAAGTATGAGGGCCCTTACTTGAGAGCCAGCTCCAGAGGATTTGGGGGGAGGCTCTCTTGCCCATCCTGGGTGATGGCTCAGCACAGAAACACAGCCACGTCCCACGGGGCCTCTGCTTCTCCCTGAAGCAGCACTTACCAAGCAGTATCATGGTGGAGGAGAGTGTTTGCCCTGCCTGGGTAGAGGCTCCTGGAGTCAGTGTCATGTCTAATCTACCTCTGTGAGCCCAGAGTCAAACCCAGGGCCCTGAGTAGAAGGGGCAGCGAATGAAGGGAAAGAGCAAGCCTGGGAAATGAGCTCAATCACATCAGACTGGGATGGTCCAGTAGGGAAAACAAAAAGAAAACAGCCAGAGGGTACTTCATGTATAATTTCCCGTTACACCTCATAGGCTATGACCACAATCATTAGCAGAGAGGACACTTACACCACATGCTGGGGCCGGCCCAAAGACGGTGCTGGGAAAGACACTGCAGTGCAAAGGACACAGTGGATCGAGGGCACAGCCTCACTTTGGGCTCTGGGCAAAGAAACAGGCTTTCCAAAGCAGCCTTAGCAGCACTATCCTGATCTCTCAGGGCTGTTGTGAGCACCAAATAATGTTATGTAAACTACTTAAAAAACAATACTAGTATTGTTTATAAGTGATCACAATCATGAGAAAGACCAAACAACAAGAACGGGCAGGGGCTCTATGCAGCCCGTACAGTGTCAGCTGTAGTGCATCTGGGGCGCAGGGTGGAAGGAGAGCTCTACCTCCTCCTGTGAGGACCTAAAGCATAGCCTAATGCCTGGGCCATCCAGAGCAGCATAAATGGCTTCTCCTGGGGGCTTCTGCATGATTCCAAGGTCCTTATGAACAGGAGAATGAACATCAAGATGAAAACAGTCTAGGGTTTCAGAGTGTCTTTCTTGGGAGGAAAAGACCCACCTATATGCCACAGGGCTGGAGGGAACACCAACAGGGTGTACCTATGGTACCCACCAGACCAGGGACTAGAAACAGTCTCAAATTCTATAAACTCTGTTGGGCAGAGAGGAGCCAAACAGCCGGGTGCAAATACATTTGTGGGCCCACATACTTTAGCCTGAATGGATGAAACTGACATCAACTTTTTCTAGCCTCTAGCAGCCTCTGGCTTCAACTAACCAGAAACAAACCCAGTCTGTCCAGTTTGCTGGGGATTCTGCTTATCCAAAATTATGGGTCCCCATATGGCCTGGGCCACCATGCACAATCACAGAGGAGCAGTTATTTACATTCTGAGGCAGAGCAGGCGGCTCGCAGGCATCCTCAGATGAGTCCATCTGAATCAGCAGATCTTGTTTTGCTCAAGTTGATTTGTTTACTAGCACACAAGAATCCCTCCCTTGGATCATCCTGGGCTGAGAGGAAAGGAAGAGGTGGTGAGGAAAATACCAGGAAGGAGCAGCCAAGGGCACTCAGGGAGGGAAGAGAAAAGAAACACTGTGATGGACAGAAAGTTCTTTTCTACAAAGTTGACACCTCCTTGCTACCGGTCCAGCCTTTATAAACCCAGCACATCCCTAACTCCTTACACATTCTCCTACTAACAAGTAGCTTCTGCTTGTTGAGCTAGGTGGCTCATGCAATTACTCATATTCAGTCTTCACGGTGAGCTAGGATGGAATAACTACTTTTACAGAGGAGAAGGCTGAGGCCCAGACAGGGGGCAGCACCTGCCCTGAGGTCTTACAGTGTGGCTAGGGACAACAAGGGACTTCCAACACTGACCTCTGCAACTTCAAGGATGGTGCCAGGCACACTGGGCTACCTGAGGAACCACATACTAAGCAAGCTGGGTCTTTCTATTCAGGTGGTGCTTACTTAGAAAACAGCTGGCTCCTGAGCTCCAGGGTGGCCGGAAAAGGCTATACTGACACCCCTGTCTCAGGCACAAGAAGCCAGCCCTGAATTAGATCTGAGAAGGAAGCTGATCAGAGACCCAGTCAGGAGATAGCAATCTCCACCGGCCCTTAGCTCTCTTGCTCAAGTAGGCAGCAACCAGTTGGGGAGATCTGCAGCTCTCTCTCTTTCAGACAGATGGCAAAACATAAATAAACAAAGTTATATGAGTCATCCCCAAACTGGAGTGCACAGGACCCCGTCTGGACAGAAAGTCAGAGTCACTGTGACTCAATCCTGTTTCTAGTACTTACCAGCTATGGGAACCTAGAACAGTCACTTGAACCCTTTGAGCCTTAATTTCCTCATCTAGGTAGGAAGATGAAAACAAGACGGCTGAGGAGGAGCAGGGTGGGCTGAAGGGCCTGGGACACAGCAGGTGCTGAGGCGCTGACCATGGAATCTGACTGCTGGCGGCTGATGACTCTCCTCCAAGAGGTGGATGAGGGCCCACATGGACATGCTGCCTTTTAGCCACTCAGCTCTCTCGCACCCAAATGTCTCCATAGCCTCAGCCTGAGAAGGATGACCTCCAACCCCAGGAGCAAGTTCCTTCCTCCACAAACCCTCCCCACCACAAATACACACACCAGTCTGAAAAGGAGACCACATGACATTTTTGTATTTCTGTAATTTAGCATTTATAGTTCCTTTATAAAGTGTAATTTTTAGCTAGATGTTTTCTCATCAAGAAGACTTAAAGCAAACTGAAAACAGAAGGGAAAACTCACCACAGGTAAGATGAGGAAGGGGCCTTTTTAGTTGATTTCTACAACGGTCATAACCTCTAAAAGTTTTGTTTTCAAAGAAAGCCTGCATTCAAGGGCAACCCCTCCAGGTACTAGATGTTCACAGAATGATTTTTAAAGTTTTGTCTATGGTACTCTGGTAAGGTAGCAAAAGCAGGAGTCCCTTCAATTCTACATATACCAAAACAAAGGAGGGGACAGTCAAGGGCCCACCCAAGTCCTATAGCAGGTCCCAGAGCCAAGTCTGGGAACGGGTATCCTGAGCCCACACCAGATGCCCTTTCCCAGCCAGCGGGGTGTGTATGCTGTGGGGGGTGTGGGACTGGAGGAAGGCAGGGTGGTGGAGGGGAGAGGAGGTGGGAAGGGACACGAAGTGGACCCCAGCAAGTGTACCTGCAGTGGTGGGCTCGGTCGGGCTTGATGCTGCAGCACTTGGGACACTTGTACACCACCTGCCCTGGCTTCAGCTGTAAACTCTCGATGAACTCTTTTGTGGCATTTCCTTTGGGCACTGCCCCCTGGAGGAAAGACGGAAGGTATCACAGCTGGGCTGGGGGTTCAATCGGTTCTAAGGTCTGCAGTGGGGAGAAGCGGCAACCACACATAGAGACAGGACATTGTGATCCCAACACATGGACTCTGTCTTCTGAATTATGTAGACACCAAGGAATAGTTACGGATCAAGAATTTTCCTGAGGAAATGCCATTAGCCCACATTAATTCCTTGACAAATTTTCTACACTGAAGAATTACATTGTTTTTGATTATTTTCTCTTTTCATTTGCTGATATTATTTTCATTGAATTTCCTATTTCTTATATAAATATTATAACGAAGATCTGACTATTTTTTGGTCTACATTAAATTTCCTGGTAACAGCTTTTGCCTTTCTGCATTTTCATTGATGAGTATCTATCTAATAGTCCAGTTTTCCCAAGTCAAAATTTGCAGCTCTGGCTGGGTACCTGTAGCTCAGCGGCTACGGCGCCAGCCACATACCCAGGAGCTGGTGGGTTCGAATCCAGCCCAGGCCTGACAAACAACAATGACAACTACAACCACAAAAATAGCTGGGTGGCGTGGCAGGTACCTGTAGTCCCAGCTACTTGGGAGGCTTAGGGAAGAGAATTGCTTAAGGCCAGGAGTTTGAGGTTGCTGTGAGCTGTGACACCAAGGCACTCTACCAAGGGCAATATAGTAAAACTCTGTCTCAAAAAAGAAAAAATAATTGCAGCTCTACAAGTTAATGGATTGTTTATTGGGACCAAGTTTTATTTATTCATTTATTTTTACCAAGCTGTTGTTAGGAAGGATTGGTAATCTGTATTTAGTTCTCTGTGAATCCACAAGCAACTGGAAGCCACTGCCTCAGGTATCTGACTAGCTATTCGGCCAGAATGCTCTGTGACTTGCTCTCCAACCCCGTTAGCGTGCTCGTGAATACTTTGTGTTCCCTGGAGCCAATAGCACAGCCAAAATGCCATAACAACGTGCTCTCACTGTGCACCCATCCAAACTGAAGGGAAATGGGCAGCGCACAGTCCTGAGTGGGGTCTCGACAACCAAACCTTCACCAAGTACCTACTTGCTGCTGAAACCTCTGCTTCTACCTAATTGCTGTGGACTCAGGAATCAAAGGGCTTGGCTCCCAAGAGGTCCATGGTCTTTTGGAGGCTAACAAGCAATTCCAGTAAAAGGGGTTACATGCTGCAGAAGACATTTGTGTCTTTGTGTTGAGGGAGCACAGAGGAGCCAGCAGCAAATTAACCAGGGGAATCAGAGAAATTTTAAGAAGAGATGTTTAAGAGCTGTCCTGAGGAAAGTGCAGAGGCTTGCTAGGTAGGCCTATGAGAAAAAGGATTCTAGCAGAGGGGGATAAGTACAGGCAAAGCTGTGAGGGTGAGCATGGTATATTTGGGAGACGATGAGGAAACTAGCGTGCTGAGCCCATGGCATGCGTTATCAGCAGGGAGGCCGGATTGATGAGCAGGGGCCAGCCATGTAGAGCACGAATGCCAGGCCAAAAATTTGGGGTGAGCTTTTTCTTTATAGGCAGCCCAGAGCCCATTAGGTAACACTGGTGCTTCAGGAAGAAAGCTCAGTTGCCTGTGCTGTACGGATCAGATAAGGAGGAGAGATTAAAAATCCCAGACACCACTTAGGAGGTTACTATTGATGATCTAGTAAGGAGGGACTGAGCTATGAAAAGACTGAGGCTGGAAGAGAAGAAAGGGAGAAAAAATTCAGAGATCTGAATCTATAAAAGGTGTGGAGAACAATTTAAAATTGTGGTAGTGGAGGGGGTGATGGAAAAGGAGGCCATGAACCTCAATAAGGTTTCCATTTTTAGCAGCTGGTAGGTGGTGGCACCCTTAAGCCATTAAGAAAGCACAGGAGAAGCAAGTGGGGAACTCCACTGGCTTGGCCCAGCTCTCAAACAAGAACCATGCCAGACACCAGGTCAACTGACCTCTATGGGCTGAGACTGGGGCCTCACCCTCTTGCCCAAGGGCCCCGTGTCAGATCTGCACAGCATTAGGCCCACTCCTCAGTGGGCTTCCATGAGACGACAGAGTCAGGGAGTCAGAACAAGAGAATCCAAAACTGCCCCAAGTCCCGAGTGGGCCAAGGAGAGTGTGGGTTAGGATGACAGATGGGGCTTTCAAGCAGATCATCCCTTGTTGCTCCAAATTAGGGCTGATGTGCTACAACAGACCAAATGAGAAGTTCTCAGAGCAGAAGGGATGAGGACTAGGTGTCAAAACCTTTCCTACAAAAAGAATTCTGGAAACTCTTCCTACAAAAGAATTCTGAGGCTTGGCACCTGTAGCTCAGCGGCTACGGTAAGCACCAGGACTGGCAGGTTTGAACCCGGCCCAGACCTGCCAAACAACAACTACAACAAAAATAATAGCCAGGTGCTGTAGCAGGCACATGTAGTCTCAGCTACTTGGGAGGCTGAAGCAAGAGAATTGCTTAAGCCCAGGAGTTTGAGGTTGCTGTGAGCTGTGATGCTACAGCACTCTACTGAGAGTGACATAGTGAGACTGTCTTGGAAAACAAAACAACACAACAGTAACAACAAATATTATGAGAAGGGAAGAACCATTTAAAGAATCAAAAAAATCTCCAAATGTAGAGAATGCAAAGGAGCTAAGCTTTTGTCTTTTGCTAAGAAAATGACTCACCATGGGTAAAGATTGCAGCTAAGGAGACTGCAGAGACAAATTAACCAACTACTCCCTCCTCAAAGTATGTGCCATGCCAAACCCCTGAGAAGTATAAAGAAACTATGGGGAGCCAGGCCTCATACACTGGGTGGACAGATGTGCATATGCAGTGAGGTGCCTGAGGCTGAACACCTGGTGAAAGGCACAGCTACCAGTGCATCAGGAGTGTAGGGAAGGCAGGAGCACTGAGGGTGGGGACCCTGGGGGATGCTACTCAGGGGAGGGGCACTTGGGAGGAGAAAGATGCCTTCAGACCTCCCAGCCTCCTCTGCATGTGGCTCTGCTGAGCCTCCCCTTCTCTTGCCTCAGGCAGGACCTGTTCACTCCTGAGAAGGACAGCATGTGGCTGCCTTGTCAATCAGAGTAAATGACAGCTGCCCCACTCATGTGTCTTTTTTTTTTT